ATGCTTGGTCTTTTAAAATATTTTGAGTCTGTGATCACTGGTTTGTCATTTTTATGTATTAACTTTTTATAACATCTTAGAACAAAGAATGAAACAACTATCTTGTAAAATACATTTGAAAGAAACTCTCTTTCATCTAATTAGTAGGACATAGTAGAACAACTTCTCATCTTCTAGATCATCCTAGGACAGCTAATTTTTACCTATTTAGCCATTGCCTTTTCCCCAGAGTGTGGAAGAGTCCCTGGCAAATAATAAGTATATTGTGGAATCAATAAAAGACAATGTTCCCTGCTGTATTCCCACAACCTACAAAATGCATAGCACCATAGTAGATGATCACTAAATTTTGGTGATTGAGTGATTAGTTTTATTTCCATCTCCTTTCTGGCTCTAGTTTTTCATCAGGTTGTTCCCTGTTATGTTTATTTTCTATATAACCTTTTTTAGGTTCTATCATCCTGTGAATTCAAAAACTCTGAGGGAAAAAGAACAGTTTCTTTGCTAAATTTGGACATAAGATTCGAGGCTGAAATGTTTCTTGCACTTCAGAGCACTAATTCACTTATGAAACACTGTGGGACAGTCTTTGACAAGGGTCATTAAAGTGAAAATGACAAAAACCAGTAACTTGTGGTGTAGAAGAGATTGCGCAGCTCAACAGGATGGGAAGCTGTAAATTACCTACAGATTTCGCAAAAATTTGTAAAATTTTGAGCAATAGATTATACAGGATTCCTCACTCTAGCAAACCTCTGAAACTCACATTCCATACACTTATCTCCATTTCTGGCCTTGGTTACTGCAAGTTAGTTTGGTTATCTGAAAGGGTTGTCTGGTCAAAATCTTAATGGATTTAGTAGCTTGATTTTATTTACATATCACCTTTTAAATGCATGTTTAAATTTTTTAAAATTTTGTTTTTACTTCAAAAACTAATTTTTAAAATCATATAGTCATTTATAGCCATGAAGTTTCCTTTTAGAACTGCTTTAGTTGCATCCCACATGTTTTTGTATCTTGTATTCCAATTTTCATTTGTCTCAAGATTTTTTTGAATTTCTCTTGATTTCTTCTTTGACCCATTGGTTTTTCAGTACCATGTTGTTTAAACTCCACATATTTGTGAATTTCCAGTTTTTTCTTATAATTGATTTGTAGTTTCATACCATTGTCACTAGAAAAGATACTTGATATGATTACAATCTTATTAAATTTATTATGACTTGTTTTGTTGCATCACATAACTTATCCTGGAGAATGTTCTATGTGCTCTTAAGAATGTGTATTTTGCTGCTGTTGGATGAAATGGTCTGTAATATCTAAGTTCATCTGGTGTAACATATAGTTTAAGTCCGAAGTTTCTTTTTTATTTTATTTTTCGATGATCCATCCATTGATGAAGGTGGGGTAATAAAATCCCTTAATATTATTGTATTGCTTATTTATTTCTCTATTCAGGTATTTTTTTTTTAGGTTGATCTCTTTATCATGATATAATGACATTCTTTGCCCTTATCACAGTCTTTGTCTTAAAGTCTATTGTTTCTAAGTGTAGCTAGCTCTGCTATACTTTTGGTTTCCATTCTCACAAAATACTATAACTCAATCCCTTCACTTTCAGACTGTGTGTGTCCTTGAAGCTGAACTGGGTCTCTTATAGGCAGCAAGTAGTTGGGTCCTTTTTTTAAATTCATTCAACCATTCTGTTTTTTGAATGGAGAATTTAATCCACTTTATGTAAAAGTAATTATTGATAGGGTATGGATTTACTATTGCCATATTTATTGTTTTCTGGTTGTTTTTAAAATTTCTTTGTTTCTTTTCTTCCTCTTGCTTGCTCTCTTTACTATGTTAAAATGGGAGAGGGAGAAAGTAAAATTATAAATTTGATCTTATGAATTTCTGTAGAGACATGCTTCAGTTTCTTTTAGAGAGAATTGTTCCATGTGTAGCTGTAGATTTAATGTTTCTGTGGGAGGAGGTGAGTTCAGGAGCCTCCCATGTCACTAATTTGAACCAGAACATATAATTATTTTCATTCTTCACTTGTGACATTAGTCTATTTTAGTCTGTACTTTTAAAAAAAATTTATCTTTATTGTTGGAAGTTTTACAGATGTCCCCTTTTTCCTCACCATTGACCCTTCCCCTCCCTCCTTTTGCCCTCTCCCCAGGCTTAATCTGTACTTTTTATATGATTTTTTTTTTTTTTTTTGCAGCCAGGTGTTTCTCCCAAAAATACTGTACTTCTAATGTCTTTTTAAAAAAGTCTTCACCTGAAAGTAAGGATATTTTTTCCCATTGATTTTTAGAGAGAGTGGAAGGGAGGGGGAGGAGGAGAGTGAGAGAGGAAAGAGAGAGAGAAAGGTTGATGTGAGACTCACATCTGTTGGTTGCCTCCCACATGCACTCTGACTGGGGGAGGGGACCAAATCTGCAACCCAGGTACCTGCCCTTGACTGGGAATTGAACCTGCAACCCTCTGGGGTGCAGGCCGCCGCTCTAACCACTGAGCCATGCCAGCCAGGGCTGTACTTCTAACATCTTGTTTGACTAGTGTCACATAACTCACTGTCTTTATCTGTCAGCAGTATGCTATAACCATGTATTCCTTATTTTGTAATAATCAGTAGGTCTATTGGGGGGATTCATCTTCTAGGATATAAGTGAGTCTGTATTGTTAGCCCTTTTGCTTAGTATGTCTGATTAATTTATAATTTTGCACATTTTGAGTCCTCTTTCCGCTCAGTTACTTTCCACTTGTACAAATTCTTGGCTTCCCTTTCCACATGGTTATTAAATGTTAACAACTGATGTACGTTAGTCCTTCGTGTTATTGGTACAGAACTGACTTTTCCCCCAGGATTACTTGTCTTATCATTTCTGGTGTCTATTATTTAGTTTACAAAACAAAGCAAAGAAATACCTATGACTAGAAATGTACATACTTTTAATGGAAAAATCAAATACATATATTAATGTACATATAATAGTTCCTTTGCTTACTAAATCAATTAAAAATAAACAAATACCTATAATATTTATTCATTTTGTATTACAAATATAAATTATTTTTATTTTGGATCATTGTGAATTCAGAGATTTTTATACATTCAAATATTTCTAATTAATCAGCATAATAAAAATACATTATATTTATAACAAAAGTATTCAAACCTGTCCTTGGAATCCTTGCAAGTTTACCACTTTACTTTTTAGTACCTTTTATCTGTGATAAAGATTGTGGCTTTACCAAAGGATTTTACATTTTCTTTTCCTTTGCCTTAACAAGTCTGCTTTCTCATCGGAAGAGCTTCCTTTTGGGATTTAATCAACAGCTCTATCACTTCTTCCTCAAAGCCAAAACAAAGGTTAATAGAGCCTTTTCTCGTTTTCATGTTGTTTTTTTGCAGTCTTAACTATATCTTGGACACAGCTGCTCATCTAGCTTAAGAGAACTTTTTCAAGCAGAGTTTCTGTTTTCTGGGAATACAAAAGGTGCCAAATCTAGTTTATATTTTTTCCTGCTCTAAGTAGGATTGATACATCCCCAGGAGTCCTCGTTCCTTTCAATAAACATGGGTATTACTTTCGACAGGATCTAGTTTATAGTGTTGCTTATGAGAGTTTGTAGGTAATTGCTGTTGTTGCTGTGGGAATACTTTTGGTTGTAATTGTGTTGGAAAAGATATGTATTGTCAAATTTATAACTGTACTTTCTCCCATTCTCAATTTAACATAGTAAAGTAGCATTTCATTCAAGATCATTATATATATATATGAAGTAATATTGTACTTTAAGGAAGAACGTAGAGAAAAGGACATAATAGGTACTTGCCTTTGTCGTCTTGGGTTGCTATAATAAACTACCAGAGACCGAATGGCTTAAACAGTAGCCGTTTATTTCTCACAGCTCTGGAGGCTGAGGAGGCTGAGATGGGGGTGCCGGAATAGTGGTGGGGGGACAAAAACATTCGGTCCATGACAGTACAGTAAATGAAGTCAGGAACCCTGATGGTGTCTTTAGCAGAGAATGTCACACTTTTATTTCCTTTGCAATAACAAGCCTATTTTCCCTCAGCTATAAAAATTTTGGGATTTAGTTCAACAGCTTCCACTACCTCTTTCTCAACTCCAAAACAAAGGTTTTTGTGTCTTTACATACAATGTATGTACATTGTGTACATTAAAAACTTTTGCTCATCGGTCACATTGTCTTTCACAATTTTGCACACAACTTACTCAGTACAGAGCACTTTCTAGGGAAGAGCTCACCTCAAGCATATAACTGCTGTTGAAAATAAAATATCCAGGGAAGGCAAAAAATAAGAGCATGTTCATTAATTTTTTTTTTTTACCTGTGTACTTGTATTTTAGATTCTTCTTTGGAGTAAAACAGGCTCTTCAACTGTTGACGAGGTAATTTCTGAGCTGTAATAACTCCACGTTTTTCTATTGTATTCCCCCATTCAAGCTTGGCTGCCACAATCAGACCAAGTGTGAGGACCCTTTTTTCTTACATCTGCACTGGAACCTTAGCAGCAGACAGTAGCAGTTCCAAGTCTGTCCAAGTCTGTCAAACAGATGCATTAAATTTTTATTAGGTATAATGATTATTCTGTTAGTGTACTGATAATTTTTTTGTTTGAATGAATAAAAATAAATTGAATAATTCCACATGACACACTAATTAGTGATCTCAAGATATTTATGGAAGTTTCTACTAACTGTTTTTCGGTGTTGCTTTCTCAATTTCCTTTTTTCTTTGCTCCATCTCCCAGCGTGAATCAAAGGAAACCCCAGTCTTTAAAAATACCTCTTTTTCTGAGTTAAGTCTTTTACATTGGGAGCTTTATAGTCTCATCAGAATAGTACAACTGGTGTTTAATCTCAAGTATTTCTGAATATATTCTTTTATCCACAGAAATATACCTTGGAAAAAATATATAAGAGCATCTGTTCCTCCCAAACACTGAACAACAAGAGAGTTAACACACAATGGGGCAAGAAGAACCTCAAAATGAACGTGAGTACTTCTCTCTTTTCAATTTTAAAGAGGAAGATAAAATTATAACTAAGATTTAAAGATAAAATTGATAGTTGTAGTTGTGAAGATTGAATATGATGATATGGGGAGGAGAAGGTGGAAGAAAATAAGAATGACTTTGATGAAGAGAAAGGCTATAAATAGATTTGAATACATTGGGCAACAGAAATTTCCTGTAAAACATAAATTGGGCCAAGAGAGGCGTTAAAGTATATAAAAGAAAAACAAGACGGAGAGAAAGAGTAATTTGGGGAGACTCTTTTAAAGGGAAGAGAGAGAAGAAAGATATAGAAAACAGGCTGACTAAGGCTCACAGTGTTTCTGAGGCTCTAACTTTTCCCCATTTTATGTTATTTTGAGAAATATATAAAACATATGCAGAAATATATAATTTTAAAATTAATGTTTCATTTTATCTCATCACCCCACCACGGCAAACTTCAATGGACCCACAATGAATAATAGTACTGAAAAAAAAGCTTTTTTATGTAACAATATGTCTTGGAGATTTTTTTATGACAATACATATTGATACACATGATTGTTTTAACTGCCATATAGAATTCTATCATATGGATTCACCATAATTTAAAATAACTACTATTGACAATACACATACAAGTATTAGGTTTCAGTGTTTTTTCTGTTTCCAAAGGACTCCAATGAATATTCTTTAATATTAATAAATTCAGTTATTTCTATAAGATAAATCTCTAGAAATGAAATTGTTGTGGCACTTAGTAAAGTATATGATTGCCTAACCACTATGCTGTACACCTGAAACTAATACAAAATAATATTGAATATACACTGTAATTACAAAATGAAATAAAAAAAGTAAATTGTTGTGACAAATGTAATGCATTTAAAAACCAATAAATGTTGCTAATTTGATCTGTCTAAATGGCTTTCTAATTTCTAGTTCAGTAGCAGTATTTATTTTCTCATCTAGAGTGTTGTATTTTTAATTTACTTTTAAAAATCTGATATGTAAAAAAATCATACCATAATATTTTAGTTTATATTTCTCTGATTGAGCATATTCTTATTTGTTTAATGGCCATTTATAATTTCAACACATCAAATTTTTATCAAATTTCCTGCTCAAATTTTTGCTGTTTTCTAATTGCTTTTTAAAATTCTTTATACAGCCTGGATATTAATATTGTGACCTGATTTTTCTTCCAGGTATTCCTTTTGTTTAACATTGTTTGTTATATAGAAGTTTTAATTTTTATGTACCCAAATTATCATTTTTTATGATTTTTGAGTTTTGTGTCTTCCTTATAAAAAGTCTTTTCTATTAAAAAATAAAGTTTACATTTTATTTATTTATTTATTCACTTATTTATTTATTAGCTCTAAAACTGATTTATTCAGGGAAAATCTTTAAACTCCCTCTACATCTAAAATACTTTGGATGATCCCACATTTAGCTTGCTCCTTGGTAGAATTAGTTTTCCTAGCTCTTGGGGCTGAGAAGGGAATAACCTAGTTGTGTTTCTTTTTGTCTTTGTAGGGGGCCAGCATTTCCAGCTAACCCTTTGGGCCATAGCTGTTGTCTTCATGTCACTTCTCGGTGCCTGCTGCATTGCAAGTTGTTTGGGTAAGTTGTTAGGAAAACTAGAGCTCTCCTTGAGTTATTTTCCCAAACAAATTTCATAAAGTTGCTCCAGATGTTTTGTTATCTTGATTTTCCTCACCATATCAACCTAAAATGCCCTCAGGATCTTTGACTTAAAATTCAGAGCTACATACTAAATCTGCTATTCTTTGATGATGGTGCCTTGTGTCAGGGAATAAAAGATGGAATTTAGACCCTTTTCTATACATTTGAAGGTTGATTGCTGTAGTAAATCATCCCTCACTTTGGACTAGAATTACAAAGGGCTGCCCCATATGAGTAAAGATTAACCAGCAAAAAAACAACCTTCAGATGGGCTGCAGTCTGGCTTTGAAAAGAATAGTTGGGAGACCCATTCTTTCTGATACCAAGACCTTGTATAAGGTTATTATAATTAAAGTAATATAGGTGCAAATATAGGCAAATAGACTAGAGGAAAAGAATAGAGAGCTTAGTTACAGATTCTGCATATATAAAGTCTTTATATAAAACAGAAGTGGATATTGCAGAGTTATAGGAAAATGTTACTTTTGTTCAATTAATGGTGTAGAGACCATTGATTATCCACATTTTAAAAATGAAATTGGTCTCCTGTCTCATATAATGTACAAAAAACCAACCCAAGGTCCTGAGCTGCTGAAACCCATTCCCTATGAATTAATGGCATAAGTGTAAAAAAATAAAAGGCCTCTGAACTGTTAAAAAAAAGTTCGGCACTATCAAATATTGATAGTGATGTGGAACAACTGGCCTTCCAATGAATTGCTGCTGTAGGGGTGTAAAGAACTACACCCACTTTGGAAAAGTTTGCCGATATCACAGTTGACAATATGTATACACTATTACCAGCAATTCTACTCCTAGGCATAGACCCTGCAGAAACGCACACTTATGTGACATGGTCAAAAATGCTCAGAGCAGCGTAAGTCACAATCGGCCAACACTGGAAGTAACGCAGATGTTAACCAGAAGAATCGATAAATACCTGTCTGTGCACTAGGACAATAGATCACTTTACAGCAATGAACATAGATAAATTATAGTTGCATGAAACAACACTGAGCAGAAGACAGAAACAAAAGAAGGCATATTGTATGATTCCATTTATATAAATTTCAAAAGCAGGCAGATCTAATCTATACGGTTTAGAGAAATGTTATCTAAGAGGTAAACTTGTGAAGCAAAACACAAAGTGATTACTTTAAAAGCCACGGCCTGGTTACCTTTAAGAGAGGGAGTGGGGTGCGTCTGAGATGTGAAGGCTCCTGGGCTGTTGGCAACATTCTGTTTCTTGAGCTGGGTAGTTACCTGGAGTGTTCACTTTACAATCCATTGATACACTGTACATTTATATTTTCACTTCTTTACATTTGGTTATATTTTAAAGTAAAAATATCCAAAAGATAAATAAATGTATAAAGCTTATAAAATTTTGTAGCAATAACCCAGTGTTCACCAAAAATCTCCACTCTTCCACAAATTCTGACAGAAAAATGTGCTCAAAGGCACATGCACTAAAGGTTTGAAAAAATACCCCCCTAAAGCACAAAATGGACAATATGGTAATAAAAATATTAATGTCAACAATTTCTTCCAACCAGTTCACCTGAAGCTGCAACAAAGGAACTGCATAGGAAGAAAAGAGGGTGAGGGCCCTAACTATTAGGATAAGAGAAAGGTTAGAGCAGTCGGCTCCCATTTCCCAAATTAAGTGGTTATATAGGGAAGGGAAACCAACTTTTTTCCTCCTTGACAGTGACTCATAACAACTTTCTACGCTGTAAGAGAAGCACTGGAGAGTCCAGCCTACCAGGGCACCGCAGGAAGCTGACATGCATCGAAGAAAAATCAGAACTGAAAGGTACAGGTGGCAGAGACACATATGAGAATTTTTCTCGTTTCCACTTCCATTAAAATTAAAAATTTGATTTAAAGTACATCTGTAGTAAGCCAGGAGAGGCTAAAATAACATAACCTGAGAATCTGGCACAAGAGTGAGCATCAGTAATTGAGACAGAGCTATTTCTCCTCACTGTCATCAGTCGAATAACTGGAGAATGTTTAATTTAATTCCATTTGTTTTTGATTCAGACACATCATAAGGACTGTTTCCTCCCACACTTGTCTTTATCTCTTTTATTATTCTGGGAATTGTAAAGTCTCACTTAGGAGAACGGGGAAATGCTTGAGAGTTTTAGCAGGTTTTTTGCCCTTTTTGATAAAATGTCCTGTAAAGGGCTTTGTTATAAAAACACTTTAAAAGTGAATATAAATAGATGTAGGGATGTTGAAAAATGATCATCCCTTCTAAGAGAATATGTTGTAATTTTCTTATTGTCATTACATGGTTCCAATACTTAGAAGATATTTAGAAATGTAATTAAGACTGTTTTTAAAGGGAGAACAGGATGATTTTGGTATCATTCCCATAAATGATAACTGGATACTAGGTAGTTATGCAATCTGCTACAGATGAATGCTTCTTTGTAACTAATTTTCATTTCCATATTCTCATAAGGAGACACCTGGAATTGTTGTCCTGTTGGCTGGAGAGCCTTCCAGTCCAACTGCTATTTTCCTCTAAATGACAGCAAGACATGGGCGGAGAGTGAAAGGAACTGCACAGGGCTGGGGGCTCACCTGGCCACCGTCAGCACAGAAGACGAGCAGGTAGGGTGCGAGGCTCCCATCAGTTTCTCTGCTCGTTTGGACCTCTGCAGGGAGGACTTTCTCTGCTCTGCCATGCCTCTGTGTCTTCGCTTCATCTGTTCCATCTGCCTGGAAAACCTTTTCTTCCTTTCTTATTGTCTTCCTATGATCAACTTCGTCAGGCCTTTCCAGATTTCATTCCTGTAGCATTTCCTCCAGAAAACTACCCTGACCATGTTCCCTCCTCCACCCTCCCTGTTCTAAGTTGGAGGTATTTCTGTGGTACTTTGTGCACGGTGTGGTCATGGCACTTACTGCAGTGTCCTGCAATTGTCTGCGTAATACTCCGTCTCTTCCAAGGATTCCTACTGTGTAGAGGGCTGGGGCCATGCCTTGCTCATCTGTGCAGCTCCAGTGTCCTGCATAGTGCTAGGCTATCTGGCTAGGTTTTAATAACTGTTTGGTGAGTAAGTGAATAACTGAATGGTTGATCAAGGCTGAAACAGCTACAGAATAAAGCATAGGAAACATAATTCAGATGTATGGTTATAATTTTAAATAAGAAAATCTTAATGTAAAAATTGAAATTTATTTTCTCATGTAATATATTTCCATATATGTACCATGACTCACATTCTACCTTTTTATTGATCAAAAGGGTTCCCTAGAGTATTCTGTTTTCATGGCCTTGTGATCTGTAGGCTGAATGTTTGAATAAAATGGGATTAATAAAATATATAAACAATTAAAGAAGAACATTTTAAAAACAAAAGTTCCTGGTAATTTGGTCTTATTAAGCATTTGCTAAGTGATTTGCAAGTAGATCTCAGTTAATCTGCACAATAACTCTATGAAGTAGTGGCGTTGTCTCTTTTGAAGATAAGAAAACTAGGGTTTGGTGAGATTAAAACACTTAACATTACATGGTAAACAGCAGAGGCAGGATACGAAAACAGATCTGCCTGATGCCAACACTTTTGTGCTTAACTAGTAATCTATTTGACCTCTTTCCTCTTTTCCTAACATAGCATCTATCACATTATAAATACAAATATATTTATAAGAATTAACTTTTTTTATACAGAACTTTATTATTCAATTTTTGGATACACGATTTTCATATTTCCTGGGACTTTCAAGTGAGAATCCTAAAGGCCAGTGGCAATGGGTGGACAGGATGCCATTTAACCCACATATGGTGTGAGTATATTGACTGGGGTGAAAGAGCTTTACTTGCAAAGGTGGGAAGAAGGCAGCAAGCAGAATTCCTTTTTGGGTGGAGCATGCCAATGCAAAAGTGCTTGCTCAGCACCATGTGTTGAGTATCCTCTATACTAGTATGCTACTACTATAGCTGTATTGGACAGTGCAGCTCTAAATTTCTCACTTAGAGGCCTTTAGGGGCATTTTCTCTGCGTTGTCCCCTCACACACACACACACACACACACACACACACACACACACACACATCTGTGTGTGTGTGTGTGCTGCATATACTTTTTTTCATTTCAGGTTCTGGCATAAGGGTCAACCCAACAACCATCAGAAAGAAAATTGTGTTGTTCTTGCTAATGACCAAAACAAATGGGCCTGGAATAATTTTTCTTGTAACTTTGAGGCATGTAGGATTTGTAAGAAACCTGGAACAGTACTCATCTGAAAGCTACAAAGGGGTTCTTGTGATGAGGACAGAGAAGAACCCATTAGACTAGGGCAAGAATGTACATGCTTCATTGGAACAGAGAAAACATACTAGGTCATAGAACATTTTCAGTCATAATGGCCTTATTTATTTTGTTTAATTCAGTCATGATAATGTGTTTTGTATGGTGTTTTAGTGGAAAAAAGAATCTCTTCTATGAAAATCACTTTTCATTAACTTTGCTTTCTTAGTAACATTTCAAAGAATTTACTTCTCAATTGGTGTGCATTTATGACACATTGAACAGAATGGCCTGGGTGGTTCAATGTTTTAGTTATCTCTTCCTGTTACAAATCGTAACTCTTAAAATTTAGTGGGGTATTCACTTTATAAGGTATACACATGTTGCATCACTATATTGTACACCTGAAACAAATATAACCAATATATAAGATTGTATACCAACTATACTTAAATTTAAAAAAATTTACAGGAAGGATATTCCAACTGGTAGTGGTACATCATTTTTTAACCCAAATATCACAAACCCTTTAAAATTTTTAAAAAATATGTTTTCATTGATTTTTTTAGAGAGAGAGGAAGGGAGAGGGATAGAAAGATAGAAACATAATTGAGAGAGAAACATCAATATTGGCTGCCTCCTGCACACACCCTACTGGGGATTGAGCCCGAAATCTGGGCATGTACCCTCACCAGGAATCAAACCAGTGACTTCTTGGTTCATGGGTTGACGCTCAAGCACTGAGCAACACCAGCCAGGCTAAAGTTTTTAAACAATACTTTTATTGTTTGATGCTTCATTTTCAGATTTTTTTTCATAGTATTAGTCATTAGATTGACATTTCATGAGAAAAATATAGAATAGTTCTGGATTATGGCATGGCAGAGGTAGAAAAAAAATGTCTATCTACCTTTAAAACAGTTACTTCTTACTGTATCCTAAATGCCTTCCCAAAGCAGGGAGTCTTAAGCCGACTGATTGATTGAGTTTTTGAGTGGAAAATCCCTTACAGGCCACCTTAAGCAAACTCCTTCAATTCTGTAGCTGAGGAAATGAAAACCTTGGGAAGCCAAAGAGCTCACCTCCGCATTGCTAGTTCATGAGAGAGCCAGACCTATGGCTCAGATCTAAGAGGTGAAATGCATTCTCTTTGTTATTACAGGATAGTTACTGGGGATGACTTGGCCTCTTGGTTAACAGATAGATAAAAGCTCCTAATTATTTGAAGTAACATTTTATTGGTGTTTCTATTTTTAATTTGAACCATATTTTCTATCTATTTGTGTAAATTGTTAGTATTGTTTCTTTGAAGCTATAAAGCTATAGTTCGAACTGGCAAGGAAGTCATTTTAAAAACTGAAAATTTTGTTTTTGTGATTTATGTATTATTAATTGTGGAGCAATCACATCCAACATCAACAAAATATGGTGGTCATTCTTAAAATTCTCAACTTGTTGATGTTTCCTGGATCTAAGCTAAAAAATCTCAAGCAACAGCTTTTTAACCTAACTTTCTTATCCCTATTTTTAAAAACAGTATTTTGCGAATTAGCGATTTTCTGAGTTTGGAATATTTGTGTTTGATTGGTTGATTCCATTCATGTGTATATGTCTGCATTTAAAGCTGATACTTTTAACTAGTGCTAAGTGACTTTAATTGTTTGCCATATTTACTAAATTACAAAATCTACAAAACCCTGTTGAAATAACTTTTTGTAAATGCTAATAGGCTTTGTATAGTTAATATTATTCATTTTTATTTGTATAAAATTGTATGTTGGTAGAGATTCAGTTGTCAATAAAATGTGACCCCTTTGTGATTTTTTTTCTTTGTTAATCCTCACCTGAGGATGTTTTTTCCATTGCTTTTCAGAGAGAGTGGAAAGGAGAGAGGGAGAGAGGGAGGGAGAGAGAGAGAGAGGAACACCGAAGCAAGAGACACATCGATTGGTTGCCTCCCGACCAGGACTGGGGATCGGGCCTGCAACAGAGGTAGTGCCCTTGGCCAAAATCAAACCCAGGACCCTTCAGACTGCAGGCCGATGCTCTAGCCACTGGGCCCAACCGGCTAGGGCCCCTTTGTGATTTTATACATCTATATGTACATCATTTTTCACCACCTCCATCGCTGCCACCATAGACCAGCCACCATCTCCTTACCTGGATTACTGCAGTTGCCTTCTGATTGGTATTCCTGTTTCCACCCTTAGCCTCTTTCATTCTGTTCTCAGCACTCATGGCATCTTTCCTGTTCATCAAAATTTATTGAAGACAGCTGATAGTAATTTTTTAAAAATAGATGCTAATTAGTTTAGTACACTGTGGTAGTTAGTCCTAGAGGTTTGAAACACTTAAAGAAATTTAAATAGTTTTCATCTTAGAAAAAGTAATGTGGTAAATGTTTTAAAAGGCAAACAGTAAAAACATAAATAAAAATATAAAGTAAATTTCTCTTCCACCATGAACTCCAGTCCTCTAAATGCTTCTTCAGAGTAACTATATGGGAATCAGGAGTTGGCAGAAAACAGCTATTTTTAATTTATGAACCCGATAGAAGAATTTGGTTTTTAAAACAATGTATATATATATATATATATATATGTACCTAGTATACAAACTTATTGATGTAATTAATATTAACATTTAACAATTAACATATTTAAATGTTAACATTTGATATTAAAAAGAGATGGTTAAGGATCACCTGATAAAATCAATAAACCATACAGTGTAAAAATTTAACAAATAACAAAGAAAAGGAATTTTCCATAGAGGGTCTACTCCAAACCTATAGCAACCATTATATTTAATGGTAAATCATTAAAAGGATTTTCTTTAAAGTCAAGAATAAAACAAGGATGCTCACTTATAGCAACTTCTATGCACTAATATATTGGTAGTCCTAGTTAGCTTAGTATGATCAGAACAGGAAAGGGAAAAAAACACCCCTATCATTATTTGCAGACCAGAATTGTCCAAAGGAAATATAAAGCAAGCCAAAAATATGAGTCATATATGCTTAATTTTTCCAGTAACCACATCAAAAAAAGTCATCTAATAATTTATTTAAGCCATTATATATCCAAAATATTATCATTTTAGCATGTAATCACTATACAAATTATTAGTGATATATTTTACTTTTATTTCCAATTTAGTCATCCAAAATCTGGTGTGTATTTTACACTTCCCAGCATACCTCAACTAGGACTAGTGCTCAATGTTCAGTGACTAGAGACCTGGATAGCTAAGTATATAGGTAATATAATTGTCTACATAGAAAATATAAGGGAATCTCTACCTAAAGTGTTAAAAAAGATATTTGCAGAGTTTAGCAATGGTTTTGAGTAAATAATCAATATACAAAGACCAACAATATTCTTATATAATACCTGGAAAATAGAGAAAATGTATTTTTATATGAAATATTACACTTACAACAGCAATAAAACTACAGAGTGTCCCAAAAAATGTATACACACTTTGAGTAATTATAAAGGCAGTGTTTATTAAAATACATTTTATTTTCAAAATGTAATAGAATCTACAGACATTGTGTGTATACATTTTTGGGGGATACCCTGTATAAGATACCCAAGAAAAAATGACCAAGTGTGCAAGTTTTATAGACAAACTCGATTGCAAGACCTGTAAGCCAACTTGCTGGGGCTTGGCTGTTTGACATCCCTCACCCCGCAATGTGCCCTGTGGCTCCTCCAGTTGGTCCTTCTACTTGGGATTACACACCTGTGACCCTCAAATCAGCTCCAGCTTCCACACTTTGGGCCAGTTTGTCAGTCACCAGGATGGCCTCTGGAATCCAATAGGTCCCCCCACCCTTACTAGGCTTTCTGCCCGTACCTTTCCCCTTACACAGACACACCCCACTCAGGTCCTACATCCCTGTGGAGGTAACTACGCAGCCCTCTCCCCACCTTCACCCCCACACATACATGTATGCATATATAAAAGCTACCTTGCTCTGCACCATCTGATGGACAATTTTGGGACTGTATTGTTGGGAAAGGGGACTGGGAAAAAGAAAATAGAAGAGCAAGAACATTTTATATGATTCTTCATAAGTTCTATTTACTTCAGAGGGACCTTCAGGAAATAATTTTTGGTGCTAACTTAGAAAGCCTGAAATATTCTTGAAGTTTCAGAATTCTTTAATTTCACTTCAATTTGTTATTTGTTAAAATTAAGTAATTTAATATTTTCAAAGCATCATCTGTTGTATTATTCCTTCTGTGTGTGTGTGTATTTTATGTTTCGTCCTATACGCTCTTCCTCTTCACTGAAGGGAAGACTTCACAGCTTCTCTTGGCGAGCTCCCACTGCCAGCGTCGCTACTCTTACCCTTTGAGGCCATTGTTCAGTAAAATAAAGGTTACTCGAGTACAAGCACTTCAATACCAGGACGGGTGACCTGATAATGTGTATGTAGTGTGGGGACAGGACATGGACAAAGGGATGACTCATGTCTGGGCAGGACAGAGTGGGTTGGTGTGAGATTTTCATTACACTTCTCAGAACAGTGAGCAATTTAAAACCTAGGAGTTGTTTCCCTATATTCTTACCAACACTGGCTATTTCCTTTTTCTTTTGTGTGTGTGTTTTTTTTTCCATCACCACTTATCACCCTTATACCCTCTTCCACCTCCTTGGAATTTTGCTCTTGGATATGTTTTTTTAAAGTATGACAATATAGACATAGGTAAGAAAGTAGTGACATTAATTGCCTCCATGAAGGGGGGGCAGGCTGGCTGGGGAGTGTGGAGAAAGAATGGGGATTATAAGAAAGAGGGGAGACCTTTTACTTTATACCCTCTTTTACATTTGGGTTTTGAAGCATGTGAATGAGTTACTCAGTTTTAAAAAATAAGACTTAAAAAGGGGACGTCAAAAAATAAATAAATAAAACTTATGAATCGCTTATTTTTTAGAATTTTTCATTTAATATTTTTGGACCGAGGTTGACTGCAGGTAACGAAACCATGGAAAGCAAAACCACAGATAAGGAGATTAGAAATAGATAAATAGATGATAGATAGATACACACACACACATATATATGTATATCCCTTCATCTTCCCATTCTGCCACTTAACCTTTGAAGTTATAGGAAGTTTTTGTATTTCAATATTGAAATAAAATTTAAAATAATCAAATTATAGCTACCTATAGGAAAATGAAAATGAACAACAAAAAAATCTCCATATGTCTTTCAATGTTTTCTCATTGATGTTTATGATTTTAAAAAGGGAATTAAAGAGTTTAAAATATATTTATTGGATTACTTTTAGGTAAAAAAAACTTTTGGTTTAAAAGAGTAGTGATTTCAAAACCACAGATCATCACTTATGCCTAAGAGAAATAGAGATTTATAAAGAAAGAGTGTATATTATATTTACCTGTTCAGTTGGATTTTTCCATTCAATATTTACACATTGATTTCAATGTATGAATTTTGAGGGTCTCTTTATGGTGCTGTGTGCAAGAAACACAGTTTCCAGAAAAGCTGCCAAGTCATTTATATATTCTTGAGTAACCGTATCAGTGTTGCTGGAATATTATGCAATAAGTGGATAGGCTAGAGGTAGAAAAGTGTCGAGCCGAATGTGCTCTTAGGATAATTAGACTATTGAACTCTGGCCCTGGCTGAGCAATAGATACAAGTTCAGGTGAGATCCAGTTAGTCGATGGAAGAGAATAGAGAGAAAAGGGAGTCCGGGTGGGTAGACTGGATGACAGTCTGGAGCTGAAGGTCAGCATGGCCTTTCCCTAACAAGGCGCAGTAAGAGCCTTTGGCCTGAAAGTCCACCCCAGTTTTTTGAGTAAGAATAAGTTTCATGACTTGAAGAAGTTTATTACTCCTTGTACCAAAGAGCATATTAAGGATATATGCTTGGGCAGGGGAGTAAAAAGACAGTACGAAATAAAGAAGTGAAGGCAGACTTTTCAGGAGCTAGAAAGAAAAGCCGACACAGAGCCTGAGTTCAGACGATCGTTCAAAGGCACCTTCCAAAATCCTCTTTTTTGTTGAACAACTTGCTCTCTGTCCCTGTATTTTTTTTTTTTTAATATATCTTTATTGATTTCAGAGAGAGGAAGGAAGAGCGAGAGAGAGAGAGAGAGAAACATCAATGATGAGAGAGTCATTGATCGAGCCCGCAACCCGGGCATGTGCCCTGACCGGGAATCGAACCCCGATCCCCTGGATCCTAGGTCGATGCTCAACCGCTGAGCCACGTCTGGCCAGGCTGTCAACTGTATTTTTTTAAAATCCTCACCCAAAGATATGTGTGTTTTTTTGCTTTTATTTATTTTTTCTAAATATATTTTATTAATTTGAGAGAGAGAGAAAGGAAGAGAGAGAGAGGGAGAAACACCAATGAGATACATCCATTTGCTGCCTCCTGCAACCCCCCCCCC